AGCATCCCCTTAATGCGTTTAATTAACAACATTAATCTGATGTATCTTGTGTGTTTCGCAGGTTCAGAGATCTCGCGGACGAAGAAACAGCTCGGCTCAAATCACGGATGGCACTTTCGCATCGATGACAGTTGAAACGTCCAGCACCTTATTTGACAGCAGCACCCAGACTGGTGAGTGATTAAAAGAAATTTTGCGGATCGATGACAATCATTGTCATTTAACTCGCGGCGTTACAGCGAATTTCAGCGTATGCCAATTAAAGTCCCATCCGTGCTCATTTCTGACTTATGATAGAGCGACTTTATAACTTCGTGAATTCTCAATGCACACCAGTGTTGAGAATTTTCTATTCCGTGTTGTATTGTAAGATCTATTCTTGACAATCATTTTCATTCATGATGATTCAATCGCGGGAGAATAATATCACCGTAAAGTCATAGGGCTCGTTGCAAATTTTTATTTTTATTTGTTTCAACAAATTTTGCTTCTCGTCTATCAGTCTGTCACAAATATTTACTACTCCGTTTGATTCGACTGGAAAAGCCTCGTATCTTCTTTTACAATCTCATGTGACGCGTTTCACCTGTTAAATTTTGCGCCATAATAAACAAAGCTGCCTTGACGCAGCATTATTGATCCATCTCATTCGATGGAAATTTAAATTGAAACTTAAATACATAAATCTGCATTATCTGCTAATAACTTTTTTATAAATTTTGAAAACAATTGTCCTCGTTTAATCATGAATGTTATTCAGAGAGGACAGTTAATACTTATTCTCGCCAAAATTTAAACGACAAAAGAGTAATAAAAAATTTGTAATCCTTAAATTATTTGACGGAGAAGAGGTAAATAAAATTATCTCTTTTTGGGAGATTTTTATAATCGGATTACGTCATACTGCAGTAGTACGAATCGATGATATTCCTCAACTGTATCGTGTATCTCACCGTGTGTTTCCATCATAAAAAGTTGTTTTCTGTATAACCATCTTTTTTTTTAAACAAAGATTTAAACGCAAAAATTGTAAGAAGTCTCTGTTTCCTAAAACTTATTTTTTGTATATGGATTCACTTATTAATTTAATTGGCTACTTACACCTATGCCCGGTCCTAAACGGTCTCTTCATTTTCTAATTGATTTTATATCTTAAGGACCTAAGTTAAAAATTGTAGTACTTATTTTTTGTACTATAATTAATATTTTTCATACCTTTTCTATAACTACATACATCATGTTTCGTACATATATCCATACACTTGTAATCTTGACGTTGTTTTATCTCTCTCTTATTTTTGACGAGCTTCCTCCCAACTTGGACCTTACTTATTTTATTTCCACGTATAACTGGAGCAATCGTAGATGAGTTTTCTTCATCTTCGTGCCGACTGTACCCAATACCGATTCGAATCGGGGATTCGCGTAATCTTAATAGATATTCTCATTACTTTAGACAGCCAGCGAGCCCGCGTATTCGCTATCAAGTGTTCTCCATCTCGAACGTTGCGCTAAATTCGCGCCCTTGTTGCTACGTCATGCGCGATCGGACGCGGGGGCCGCGGATAACCGTCGTCGCGACGTTCGAGGACGCAGGCGTCATTGTGGCCGGTTTAGTTCCTGCGGAATAGCACCGGGTGCACGGCAGTCGATAGGCTGGAAAACAGAAAACTAGCCCTTGCGAGACACCCCTCGGCTAAAGACGAGCGTGCGTGTGTACACTCGTCGTGGCTCCGCTTCGTGCGCGAGGTGTTCCCGTCGCTGTAGAAAGACGCAAGGGCAGCCGCGCCAGGACGCGTCTTACATTCCGTCGAAAATATTGGTTGAAGTCGGGAACAAGTGTTTATCTCGCCGTCCCGAGGATCGACGATCGAATTCGTTGCGAGAGAGGGATCGCTCCCGAGGAGAGGGTCCTCCGCGATCGAACGGCACGCTTAATCCCTCGTGTTTTAATTGAAGGTGCGCGCAGTAAATCCTCCTGCCCATCCCATTCTCTTCCTCATCTGTTTACTTCCATCGAAGGATCGATCCTCGGGCGATCAAATGTACAACGGGTTCGGTGGCGAGCCACGCTGACAGGAGGGTGCGCGGGTCTTCCTGCGGAAGGATGACACCGTCAGGTTTGCCCATTAGAGCGATGAAAACACGCTGATCGGTGGGTGGTGGCCCTTCTTCCGATCGGCAGATCCGGATTTACCGACTGTTAAGATCCTCGCGTGAACAAAGGCGTTTTCTCGCGTCTACATACCGCGGACTCGTCCCTGCCTCTCGCGGAGCGCAGGATCAGGTGTTTCCCGGTGGCAGGACACAACCACTTGTGGCGGGGCCCGGCAATATTCGATATCGGCCCCCGGCATCGGGGCGAGCAATTTGGGAATCGGCCAATGCGCGGCACGCGTCGTCAGGGAGACGGGATTTAACTCGCCCTATCATCGAGCGCCCTGAGAGGTCCTTCCGTGACCTTCGAGGTGCCGCCGGACGTCTCCGGACGTCCTTGACACGTTATGTCGATCGTTCGATAGTCGCGCGCGCGATTGGTTGGTGTGCCGATTGTGTTTTCTCTGTGCAATGCGAGAGTCGTAAGTGATGGCGAGGAGGACTCGTCCTGGCGATCGAGGACTCTGTTGCTTCCCCGTCATGACACCGGAGACCCTCACGAAAGTGATCCACAGGTATGATCCCCCCGGTCGTGCGAACCATCTTTCCTAGTGTCAAGCTTCCTTATTTCCTTACCGCGCGTAACGCGATCGTCATTGTTATCGAAATTTTCCACCCCGGATATATATTTTAGTTTTTATATTCTATCTAACCAATATTCCAAGCGAAATCCGATATTTCCCATGTGGAATATTGGATCGCCAATATTTTCCCGAGTAAGCAGTGTAGTATTCCCCGAATGATTTATTATATATACTCGTTCTCTTAAGATTCAATTTACGTTGACGATTCATGTCTACGCATACCGTTGATCCGTACTACTGCAGCCCATTGTACGATGCATTTTTCAAGCGCTGTCTGATTTATATAATGCGATACATCGTTGGCGTAATTATCGATGCGCAATCGGACATTTTTCATGCGCGATATTAAGTGTTTGCGAAGTTCGCATCTATTGTTAATTTACAGTCGACGTTTTTCCGACGAATAAATATCCTTTACGCGATCTTTTGATGTACCCTCCTCGATATAGTTTCTAACGCAAATTTGAGATTATATTGGAATATGGGTCGTAAATTGAAGTCATATTTAAGGAAAAGGAAGAGGGTAACTATTTCGTAAATAAATATTTAGACAGTATACGGAAACTATGAAGTGTAATGTGATACTTTGAGAAATTTGACGGCCAACGTCGCAATATCGCGTACAGCTTGTTTTATAAAATTTTCTCTTTATTGCACAAGGAATAAAATAACGTAAAATAATATAAATGATATGTGTCAGGCTAAACGTTCATGAGAAGTTAGAGCGGAGCTTATCGCGTGTCATATCGCAATTTGTAACGTGTCGTGTTTCACGATGCTCGAGATTAATAAGTCAATACGAATTATATGTGTTAACTCATGGTTAGTCCACCAATTTAGATTACGAATTCCGACGCATCGTGCTGAAATGTCAAAGTTAAATCTTTGCGGACCTCTAACGTGTACACGCCGAGGTTTGTTCATAATTTACTCCGATCCACTTAAAACTTAATATTAACGTTAATGCATATTATGCATACGTGTCCGTTCCAGAGAATCCATAATTAAAGTTGTTAGTTCCTTCAGGCACGGTATTCACAGCCTTATGTCGCCGCGCCGTGCGCGATGATACTCGGAAGACAATCAATCACACTCATTCGTGATGCTGTCGCCTTTTTATGGATAGGCGATATAAACACAGCAGAATTTAGCGCACCACGGTTTACATTTCGAGCGATAATTTAGCCGAGTTTATGGCGTGTTCGAGAGCTTATGACGCAGTAATAATTGTGTCTCCCGATGATATCGAAAACGATAAATATTTTCATTGCGAATTTTACGACAGGTGTAATCAGCCGCGCGGAGAAGCGTCGTCCCTTGTTAAAGAGCGCTTTTACCGTGAGGCGTGTTTAATGCGCGCTGTCGAGAGAGAAGTTTCATTTTGTTTTGTCCCGCGTATGTCGGAGTCGATTATAAAAATTATTTCGGCGCTGACGTTGCGCGGCACGTTCTTACTTTTAATATTCGATCATCGCGAGATTAAAACGTTGATTCGCCCCCGACCGAGATCCATTCGCTAATTGATCCATGGGTTGGTTTTTTTTATTGTCGCTCATTAACACGGGATTTTCATTAATTTGATTACTACCATCGCGGCCGATTAATTGTTTAAACGCGTAATTTCCCACCGTACGAGTAGATTTACGCCAAGAGCTATTGGAATTAAATTATTTTTGCAAATTCCGCTCCTCGGTCGTCGATAGAAGAAGCGTTGGAAGAAACTCAAGTTCGGAAACTCAAAGTCGGACGGCCGGAAGTCGTCACTGCGTTTCTTATGTCCCTCCGCATATCAGATATTCGAGGCGTCGGCAAGTTTTGCGTTAACTCACATCTCGACTCACGTCTTGCGAGTAAGTTTGACGAGATATCGCTCGTCATTAAATCGGGAGAAGAATCTATGCAATTCAAGTGGAAACTTTCAAAAACGAACGCTGCCGTGTACTGATATACCTTGTGGAGAAATGAAGTTTTTCTCGATGAAAATCCGCAGTGGAATGCCGAGAATCTATAATACGGCTGCATTTGTCTGATTTGTCATTCCGACAAGCACTTTTGAAACAAGCAATTCGATCGCATCCATTAGTAACAATTTAATTCAACGAAATGTTGAATATTTTATTAATGATAAACGCGTGACTACATCGAATGCAATCGGTTCTTTTCTCGTGTAGGTAACATTAAGTATGTATGTTAATGCGTATATATTTGCAAGTGCGCTTTTAAATGAGCCAATCGAACGGCACCCATTGATGATTTAATTAGAGACAATTATCGAATGCGCAGAAATACGTGAAATGTAATAGAGTTACCACACCAGCCCGTGTTACTGAATTAACTTGGTGTGTCCACCTGGAGCATTTTCAATAACTCCGAATTAAGCGACCCGTGCATAACGTCAAAATATTTAAACTTGCAAAAACTTATTCACCCGC